TACAGGCTTCAGCCACCGTGCCCGGCTGAGTGAGGTTTTTTTTTAAAAAACTTATGGTGTAAGTAGGTTGTACTTTATATGAATTCATCTCAACACAGTAAGGGCACATTACAAAGTACTTGTTAAAATTCACTATTTCAGTCAACAAACCACAAATTATGTTTCACAGGAGTATAAACTGCAGGTTTATAGAAGGTGTCAAATGCTACATCAGCCTGACTAGCTTTTGGTTTTGCTGAAAAACAAAACAGCAACATAACCTTTAAAAAAAAAAAAAAAAAAAAAAGTATTTTTTTTGGGGGGGTGGGGGACACCAGGTTTTGCTCTGCTGCCTAGGCTGAAATGTAGTAATAAGATCATGGCTCTCTGTAGCCTTCACCTTCTGGGCTCAAGTGATCCTCCTCCCTGAGCCTCCCATGTAACTGGAACTACAGACATGCACCACCATGCCTGGCTAATTTTTTTTTGCTTGTTTGTTTTTGTTTTAAAAAACACAGTCTTACTCTGTTGACCAGGCTGGAGAGCAGTGGCATGATCTCAGCTCATTACAATCCCATGTTCAAGTGATTCTCCAGGCTGATTTATTGTTTATAGAGGCAAAGTCTCACTATGCTCCTGAGGCTGTTTTGAAAAGTTTTGTTAATGTGTTAGAAACATGCAGTAAAGATCACAAATCTTGTTTATTTACATCTATATATACCTATATCACCAATACCCAAATATACAGAGTATTTCTAGCAGCTCAGAATGCTAGAAATAATCCTTTTGCCCTTTCCCAGTCCATAGGCTGTCAGAGGTAACCACTGTTTTGAGTTCTTAAAGTTTTGTTTCTGACTGCAGAATCTTAAATGGCTTCACTATTCCAATTAGTAAACTACATTGTTCTGTATTTATATTACTGCTACCTACTTTCCCATCTTAGTCATGTATTCACATTTTGTTAAAGACATTTTTATTAGAACTAATTTGCACTTCTTTACTGCAATAGAAGGCTAAATGATTTGGTTTATTATAGTTTCTATTACACAGCCACCTCAGTCATAGTTATCTGTGACATACCTTCTTGCTTGAAATCACCTTCCCTAGAGAACAACAGATAAAATTACCACCCACAAATTCAAACTACAATGTCCCTGGTTCACAAAAATCACCAACCTAAAAAGGAAGCAGTATCTCCTAGTATATCTCAAACTTCTAGATGTGCACATAAATTATATTCAGTAGTTAATAACTGGAAATTTATCTTCTATGGAGGAAAGACATGCCAATACAATGGAATGTCCTACTGCTACTACTAATACTCATAGAAAAAATATGAAGAAAAACCAGATAATCTGCCAGGTGCGATGGCTCACGTCTGTAATCCCAGCACTTTGGGAGGCTGAGGCGGGTGAACCATGAGGTCAGGAGTTCAAGACCAGCCTGGCCAATATACTGATACCCCGTCTCTAAAAATACAAAAAGTTAGCCGGGTGTGCTGATGTGTGCCTGTAGTCCCGGCTATTCAGGAGGGTGAAGCAGAAGAATCACCTGAACCCAGGAGGCAGAGGCTGCAGTGAGCTGAGATCATGCCACTGCACTTCAGCCTGGGTGACAGACTAAGACTCCAACAAAAAAGAGAAGACCAGACCAGACACGTTTTAAGTTTCAATATGACAGGCGATACAGGCAACAAAGTTTTAAATATTTGACTGGTTTTGTGGTGGGAATTCTGCAGTTTCCAATTTTAGATATTTCAATTTACTGCTTACTTAGCTCAATATACAATAGAACACTTAGCAAATAAAATTTCATACCAAAAAAACACATAAAAAGGACCACTTTCATTTTTACAGGCCATTCCAAATTAAGTCAGGACTATAAAACTGACCACATTGTACATGGTGGTACAAGTTTTGGAACTCAAGGTGCTTAACTTATCTTAAACTTTTACTGTTGTAGGTTCAGTGTCCAAGCAAATACAAGTAAGGGTCACACAACTCATTTGTTGAGGGTCTTAAAAACAGAAGCAACAGCACTTTGGGAGGCCAAGGCGGGTGGATCACGAGGTCGAGAGATCAAGACCATCCTGGTCAACATAGTGAAACCCCGTCTCTACTAAAAATACAAAAAACTAGCTGGGCGTGGTGGCGCGTGCCTGTAATCCCAGCTACTCAGGAGGCTGAGGCAGGAGAATTGCTTGAACCCAGGAGGCGGAGGTTACGGTGAGCCGAGATCACGCCATTGCACTCCAGCCTGGGTAACAAGAGCAAAACTCCGTCTAAAAAACAAAACAAAACAAAACAAAACAAAACAAAACAAAACAAAAAAAAACAGAAGCAAAAAAAATAAAAAATAAAAATGAAAGTTTCATCTCATCTGGGAGTTAGTTCATTTGTTAAGTTAAAGGGATTACTCCTGTGAAATCATCTTAAAGGTTTACAGTAAAGAACACAACTCTAAGCTCCCAATCACAAGAAGTAATAGAAACTTTACAGGCATAGTTACTGGCATAAAGATACAGATTCAATAATTTTAAGTTTCCTCTAAATTTGGCCAGTTACTACTCATTTCTAGGGACCTAGCTCCAACAGGTTACATGTAAATATCCATTTAAAAGAGATAAATTGTTCCATGAATATCTTAAAGGCAGACTGAATAATATGACTGTTCAGCTCCATTTCTATTGCCAAGTTAGCGATCAGAAAGAACATCACACCCGATGGAGACTGAACTAGATTGAAGATTTTGGATCTAAACATACAGAATAATTTCCTGGAGTCCCCCTTTGTAAATCCATGGCAGTTTCAACGTTGGGAACTCTTCAGTCTCATTTTTCTTACTGAACAGAACATGGTAATAAGTAATGAGTGCCTGACAATGAGTACAAAAATGAGTAAGAGACAGCAACCAAACTCAAGAAGTGCAGTATATGCTGCACCAGGTGGCTCATGCCTGTTAATTCTAGCACTTTGGGAGGCAGAGGCTGGTGGACTGCTTGAGCCCAGGAGTTTGAGACCAGCCTGGCCAACATAGTGAGACCTCCGTCTCTACAAAATATACAAAAATTAGCCAGGAGTGGTGGTGCACGCCTGTAGTCCCAACGACTCGGGAGGCTGAGGTGGGAGGATTGCTTGAGCCTGGAAGGCAGGGGTTGCAGTGGCCAAGATCGAGTCACTGCACTCTGGCCTAGGGGACAGGGTAAGACCCTGTATCGAAGGGGGGGGGGGGGGGAGGAAGAAGAAAGAAAAAAAAGAAGTGCAGCATAGCAGAAAAACAACATTCCCCAAATATGTTGGATTGTATCTAAAATAGCCAAGCTTCCCAGATTATGATTCAAGTGGAGAAAATACTTCCTATACCCGTCAATTAATTTCCCTAACTGGAACTCTTTAGAACTTGAAGTGAAACAATGCAGGTATGGTGAATAGTTCATGGTTCTTAAACTTGAAAGATTCTTAATAACAAAACATACTATTCAATATTAGACTATCCAGTATTTAAAGGAAAATTAGAGTAAGGAAACATGTTACAGACCTAAGACCAAATTAAATTTTCTTGAAATCTCTCCAGTAACCTCAAGCACTGATACACAGAGATAATATTTAGGCCCTTATTTGGGGCAGTATGAGATTACGTTGAAAGCGACTTTTACTTCATCCTCAAAAGGACTGTTGAATAGTTGGAATGGCTTCGCTAACAAAAAACATAGTTAACGATTTCCTAACCGATTTACAACAGCAAACTAAGGCATTGCAGAGAACTTGCTAACGATTATGAGCTTCATTTCTTTCAGGGTAAAAACAAGCTCCAAAACGGCTTATTTAGGCAATGCTTCGGAAGAATGCTATGTAATTAATATATTAAAACTATATAACTTAATGGTAAAGAGACATTTTATAAAAATTTAAACAGTCGAGGCCGGGCGCGGTGGCTCAAGCCTGTAATCCCTGCAGTTTGGGAGGCCGAGGCGGGCGGATCACGAGGTCAAGCGATCGAGACAATCCTGGCCAACATGGTGAAACCTCGCCTCTACTAAAAATACAAAAATCAGCTGGGCGTGGTGGTGTGAGCCTGTAGTCCCAGCTATTCGGGAGGCTGAGGCAGGAGAATTGCTTGAACCCAGGAGGCGGAGGCGGAGGCTGCCGTGAGCCGAGATTGTGCCACTGCACTCCGGGCGCCTGGCGACAGAGTGAGACTCTTTATCTCAAAACAAACAAACAAACAAAAAAAAAACTTTTTTAAACAGTCGACCCAAAATAATTCCTAATTTTATCCAAGAGGCAAACGGTGAAAGACCGAACATTAACTTCGCCAATCACCTGAAAGGAGCAGCGTGGTAAACTACCCAGGAACCCCTCAGCGCTCAGGGGCAACAGTGAACTGCTGAAGCAATAGCTCCACCTACCGATCCACGCTGTACCTCCTTAAATTTGCTGGCACCCCAAGTCTACAGTGATCGCGCTCTCTCCCCCTCCTCCACTCGCTGTGACCCAACCCAAATCTAGTTGAGTCACTAGCTCTTAATACTCATTCCCGTGCTCTTTATTCCGATCTCTTCTTCCTCCAGAAGGTTCTGCACAGCTCCCAAGCGTGAATAAAACTGAAAGGTGTCAAACACCGCCGTCGCAGAGTTGAGTCTGGAGATGGAAGACAACCGAACCCCTCCACCTGGAGCGGCGGCCCGGGGTGGCTCGGCGGTCCGTTCCGGGAGGCCCCAGGCGCCTCACAATAGCCTTTCCGTGTTGCCCTACTCACCGCTCCTCCCCACTCAACCCACACTCGTCCTCCGGACCGAAACCCTAGGACCCTGGGGTCTTGCGTCCGCTGGCCCTTCAGCCCGCCAACAGCCCGAGCCTCGCCTCCGCCCCCTCCGGGAGCCGACCGAACCGAGAAGCCTAGAAATCTCCCTCCGCCGGTCTTCGCCCTGAGACTCTCCTCTCCTTCGCAGCTCTCCTCCTCTACACCGGCCCGGGCCCCTCTACCCCGCCGGCCGAGCCCTGCCCAACTGCCCTTCTCACCCTTTCATCTTCCCCGCCTGCTGAGGCCGTCGTTATCACCGATATCAACGCCGTCGTCGTCGCCGCCCTCAGGTCTCCGCGCCCTCAGCTCGGGCCACTCAACCCCGCAAGCCGGCCCTCTAGCCAGGGCAAGGAGCTGAACTAGCAACGAAGGCCGCGAGAGTCGAGCGAGGGCCTAAATCTCTGGTGGGGGCGGGGGTGTCTCCCGCCGCCGCGCAGGTCCTGCCGCTGCTCCACACGTGCACTCGGGTCTCTCAGCTCCCTCCCGCCGCTGCCGCCAGCCAGACCAGCCGCCGCGCGGTGACCTTTCACCCCGTCCCTCTGCGCGCCGGCGCGTCCGCCGCCTCGCGCGCAGCCGCACTGTTCGCCTCCGCGCACCCTGCCCCCTCCACTCCGGAACCTCCATCTTTCTACCGGACTGTGGCTTCTGGCGTCATTTTCCTCCCTCCCACCTATTACAAAACTACTCGTGGGGCTAGCTTGGTAGGCCCTGGCGGTAAAATCCGGATTTTTCCACCCCTTCATCTCCTGTCTCGTATCCGCAAGATCAGTCTTTCTCGGACCCGTTCTTCCCAGTTTGTGGTCTCCATAGTGACCTTCAAACGCTCTTGCTTCTACTAGGGTTTTATAAAGCCAGTTCTAATAAATGTAAATAAATCTGTAGAAAGCTCAGGTAAGTTAGGTGTTTTAAAACAAATAAACGTAGTTAACAATCGGCCACATAGCTTGGTTACCCTCCAGCACGCTTCCAGTTTTGAGATCACGTGATTGACCCAAACCTCAGAGCCTGGAATTTTACAGGCGGATTCCGGAGGGAAGGAACCCCACAGCCATTTCCGGTCCCTGGAGCGTGGCTAAAACGTCACTTCCTTAGCAATGCGCTTTAACCCTTGCCGTCCACGTTTTCCACATTGTACTTTACAACACAGTCCTTGTGAAAATTTATCCTTATTTCTTTAATCTAAGGAGATTAATATTCAAGGAATCTGTAAAAATACAGGCCCCCAAGATGTAGCGAGTTGGGATGAGGAAGGCAGGGCGGAGCTCGACGTCACATGACTGGTTGGGCCCGCCCCTCTCCTCTGCAGCTGAGGACTTCCCCTCCCTTGGTGACAGAGCCTCTGGGACCTCGGTCGGTACTGTCTCTGCACCTCGCGCCCCAGCAGGTGAGCGGCGGCCGGTAACTGGCGAGGGGTGGGGGCAGAAAGGGTAAAAGGGGTAGAAGAAGGCAGAGGAGAGAGAGAAGGTAGAGTGTGAACGGCGACCTCCCTGCCTGAGACTTCATCCCTGCTGTCACCCTGCATGGGCAAGCAGCTCATTTCCCCTGACCCCCGCTTCCCCAAGTGTGGTCGTCCCCGCTACTTGGGGATTGAGATGTCCACCTTTCCCAGGGTTGGAAGTGAGTGCGGCCATTATGATTCTCTACTCAGAGCCTTTGGGGCTTCGGGTAGCAGATTATTTCAGCCATTCCACAGGGTCTGCGGTAGACACTAGGTCCCATTCCTTAAAGCCCATTCTTTGGCAAAGATCCTCACCGTCCTTACCCTCAGCTCAGGGCTGAGGAGCGGGGAGGTAGCAAAAACCCTGGAGGCAGAGGCGTCTCCGGTGAGACAGGCTTGGGAGGGACTGTCAGAGACGGCCCTCACTGCGGAGTCACTGTGAAGCTTCCCTCCGAATGTGCTTTCTCAGTAATTCTAAGGGTTTTATCTGACATCCCTGCAGGGAAGGTTCCGTAGATGTTCACGTGCTTCACATGGGACTGGAGGGTAAAAGAAGGGCTTTTACTTTTTCTTCTCTGAGGGAGAGGACGGTTGAAGGAATACTGTCTTCAAAGCAGGGGGTGTTAGTAATGCGACAGTCTCGATTAAATGAGGAGGCGTTGAAAAATGGTATTGTGGTGTCGTGGTGTGCGGGAGGCCCAGGCTAGTTTAGGGAAAAGTGAGTAGGGTTCCCTGAAACCGAAGTAAGAAACTGATTGGGTTGGAAATACTGTTAAACCAGATTTATTTGGCCATATGCTTAAAGGTAGAATCAAGTCGAGATGTTGCTGTCTGCACATATTTTCTGCCTTTAATCTTTCCCTTTTTGTCATTTTTCCCTAAAATATTACTTAATTGCCACTCCCAGACTAGTCCTCGACCGGCCTTGTAGTAAATTTAGGTGAAGTAGCATTTGTATCCCTCCTAAGTTTCCCCAATTGTAAAACTCCCGGTGCCCTCTTCAAATTTTGATAAAGAGTATTTTGTGAAAATACAGAAGTTGTTTTGCCCAGATATTGTCCAACCGGAGTACTCCCTTTCTGTCTGTAACTATTACCAGTGTTTCGACCCAAAACAACGGGCTTTAGGGAAGAATGTTTTTCAGTTTGTGGTTAAACTCTTTTTATTTGTACTGCAAACTCGGAAAGTTCCATGCTGCTTTTCACTCTTACATATATTACAAATTCGATATTTAAAATTTAAATTACACCTTAATATGAAAAGTTGTATACTCAGTTAAATCTTATAGTTTTCTAAGATAATTAAAGAAGACTGCTGAAAAATGAGGAAGATGGAATCATCTTTGAGTGGTGGATGTGACTGATTTATTTTTGTTTTTCTGTGTCTTCCAAATGCTATACAATAAACTGGCCTTATTTCATTAAGGAGAACAAAAAGTTAATATTCTAGAATAGTAGCAATTTAACAAAGTATTTTTATTGTAAGTTCAAAATACATAACCTGGCTTATTGATGCTCCTTGCTAGAAAACATAAGATGTTTTCTTGAAGCAACATCTCCTTGAAGATGTTGCTTTCCCCAAGTAATAAAGAAGATTACTATTATCTCTTGTGGATTTACCGTTTTAGTATTTTGAACTTAGGACCCATACTAGACAATAGACTAATATATTGATATATTTATGCCACCATGCTTGCTTTTGATGTGTGTGTGTGTGTGTGTGTGTGTGTGTGTGTATAGTTTTAGCCATTAATTTTCTCCATAATAATATTTCCTTGATCTCTAGAGGAGAGAGGGAAAAAAGGAAGTGTTGCTTCATTGACCAGGTGACATTGCACCACAAAAGGAGAATTCCTTAAGTGCCCTGGAAGTCCTAACTAGTCCTGTCTGGCTGATACCAAAATGGGAAAGAGAAAACCAGTTAGAAGCATTGACTACTAGAGGGGAAAATATCTATGAAAGTGGTTGAATGAGTCTGCAGTTTTATTTCACAATTCCCCTAATTTTAGGGAACTTATGAAAGCAATAAGTTAGACCACTGATGAAATGTAGATTAGTAGCGAGAATTGGTGGCTACATTGCTGTTAAGGTTAAATGTGAAAAAAAGCTTTGACATTATGCGTGGATCACACACGTGCACGCGTACACACACACACACACACACACACACACACACACACATGATTGGAAGCCTGAAAAACATCTCTGAGAGTAGCCTTATCAGTTTATGAGTGTTACATGTAGAAATCTTAACATTTATTAGGGAAGTGTGCTATAAGTCCACTGTTAACTAAAATATAAGGATTTTGTTTTGTTTTAGGCCCCTTGGCACCTCTGGTTTTCTTACCCTGAGGTGTTTCTTGTTTTCAGTGCCTTTACAGATTTTTGCCACCACTAAGAATGCTTTTTCCCCCCATGGGCAGAGGTGGCCACTCACTCATGATGATGATGATAGACTTCTAATCATCATCATCATCATCATCACCATCATCATCATCATCATCTTTTCTATTCTTCAACTTGCACTTCTAGCATTGTATTTAATTGCTGTTTCCTGGGCTGTTCCTCAGCAAATCATAAAGCTTCCAGGACTGTGAACTATAGTACTATTTTGTCTTCAGCACCAGAATACTGAAGTTCCTGAAAGGTACTCAATAAATTGTTTGTTGAATGAATGTTGGACAATTAGACAAGGAAATTAAACCATTTTAATTTTTGCAGATCATAGATCTTCCTAAAATTGTGCACTAAATGTTAACTTTAAAATATAAACTAGTAATAACCTTCAAAATTCATGGAAATACACAGATAAAAACCTCAGGCCAGGCATGGTGGCTCACACCTATAATCCCGGCACTTTAGGAGGCTGAGGCTGGTGGATCACAAGGTCAGGAGCTCGAGACTAGCCTGGCCAATATGGTAAAACCGTCTGTACTAAAAATACAAAAAATTTAGCTGGACATGGTGGCTCATGCCTGTTAATCCCAGCTACTCGAGAGGCTAAGGCAGGAGAATTGCTTGAACCTGGGAGGCAGAGGTTGCAGTGAGCCGAGATTGGGCCACTGCACTCCAGCCTGGGCAACAGAGCGAGACTCTGTCTCGGGGGAAAAAAAAATCAAAAACCTTAGATGGATTTTATTAATGCTGAGACCAACTTATTTTCACAAAATGTTTATTACTAGTAAGTATTTTTATCATCAAAATATGGGAGAGAAGGGAAGAGGAATGAATTGTTCTAAATGAAAAAGTAGCTCTGCATGATCTATAAGTGAACTGGCACTAGACGAAGTCAGAGGATCTTCATTCAGCTCTGCCCCTTTAGTTATATGTCCTTTTTAAGTAATGTTGGGGAGAGATTCAGGTTTGATGCTTAGGAACCTTACTATGACAAAAACTCTAGGTAATTTATGTGAAAATATTTTAAAAACTAAGTGGTGTCTGTAATCCCAGTACTTTGGGAGGCGGAAGCGGACTGGTCACGGATCAGGAGATCAAAACTATCCTGACTAACAGGATGAAATCCCATCTCCACTAAAAAAAAAAAAAAAAAAAAAAATATATATATATATATATATATATATATATGTATGTATGTGTGTATATATACACACACACAAAATTAGCTGGGTGTGGTGGCATGTGCCTGGAGTACCAGCTACTCGGGAGGAGAATCAGTTACTTTGATTTTATATACTGAATTTATAAAGAATACTTAAGACATCCCACAGAATTGACTGATGTCCCTGTGAGCAGCAGGTTTGGGGGATGAGGAAAGGAATAGAATTTGGAAAGAACCTATTACCCAAGAACTGGGGGAACAAGAAAAATGTACTTGTAGCAAAAATTCTAAAACAGATTTATTAATTGTATCTGAAAAATATCAAGATAAAGTCTCTTATTTTGGCAACTACAGTGTCTTTGTTTTTTTGTTTTTTTATTTTTTGAAATGGGGTTTCGCTCTTGTTACCCAGGCTGGAGTGCAATGGCCCGATCTCGGCTCACCGCAATCTCCGCCTCCTGGGTTCAGGCAATTCTCCTGCCTCAGCCTCCTGAGTAGCTGGGATTACAGGCACGTGCCACCATGCCCAGCTAATTTTTTTGTATTTTTAGTAGAGACGGGGTTTCAGCATGTTGACCAGGATG